TATAATTTAGATAATCTCACTGATTTATTAACACTTTTGAAGCATTCCTTTCCTGGTTTTCCCCAGGATGAGCATATCCATTGCCAAGCTGTGGCTTGGAGAGCCAATAAATTTGAATGCATCTTTTCATGGGGGTCATTTCTGGGGGCATAGCTGCCATCTCCATCGCCGTATCCAAATCCATCTGCATTTGCAACGCCACGTCCGCTGGCGGTTGACGACTTGCGGCCCATAAAAAGGCATTTGTTGTTGTCATTACTTTGTTTTGTTTTTTCTGACTGTTTTCTTTTCCTTTTTGCAGCAATATTTGCAACGGCGCATGCGATATGAGTACATTTTTATAATTAATTTCTTTGGCTTTTGTTGGGCAGAAGTGAAATATTGCTGCAAGCACTCACTCTGCAGTTGTTGCTGCTGTTTGGAAAACCTAGTGCCTCTGTGCTGTGACAGTTTTTTGTTGTTGTAGTTGTTGTTGAGTTTTTCTTTTATTTTAATCCCCCCCCTTTCGCAAGTTTCCCGAGTTTTATCGACAATTTCACTTTTCTGCACAGCCGCAGAGGAGCGAAGATGAAGCTGAAAAGCGGTAGGTCGTTCGTTCGGTCGGTCGGTCGGTCTCTCATATGTGATGACGAGCCAACAATTGCGGTTTGGTTATTTGCCCCCAAAAAGATTCCCAAGCACATTGTTGGATCGCGTGCAGATCCATCCCCCTGCCCCCTCCCCCCTGCCACCCCTCCTATTTGGCAAGCCCTATGTCGCTGGGCCCATTGGTTGTTTGCCATTTTCAAGTGCAAAGCCAAGGTTGCATGTGGCAGCAAAGATCCTCTCCGGCGGGAGTTGCTTTTATTATCGACACGAAACGAGTTTTGGGCTCTGTCGCCACGGGTTCCCAGAGTTCCGAGACTGCCAGCCAGACCAGATCCAGACCCAGACTCTGACTCTGACTCTGACTCTGACTGGGACTTCACTTGGCGAAAAGACAACTTGCAGAAGAACCAAACATTTTATATGCCCAAAACACAGATGTATATTCTCTGAAAAACCATATATTTCTTCATCTATTAAGTTCGGTATTGGATCAGACTTCATAATCATTTAAAAACAATTACAATATTTGTAAGATATACATTGTTTTTAAGGCATATGCTTTATTTAATGGTTCCTTCCCAAAATAACTAACTTATATATTGCATTCTTATGAGAATGTATACATAATTTAAAATTGTATTTATTAGTTTTTTCTTCTCATTTGTTTGATTAACTAATAAGTTCAACTTGTAGTGCTTGGATGACAGATCAATAATAGTATAATATTTATGGTCAGAGGATCTTAGCTATATTATAATTATAAACCTTTTTATGTTAGATACTGTTTTTATAATTTTCGGTGGTTAAAGAGATTGAAGTAATAAATGGGACTTTACAAAGGGTCTTTGATTATATTAAAATAACACAGTGTTTGATTAGTTTCCTTATAGAGCTGTATTTGAAATGTTAAGCCACTAAAGTTCTTTTTATTTAAAAATATAGTGGTTAAACAAATCCTTTTACCTTTACTCATAAGTTTGAAAACAATAAATTGTTTATAAATTATGGCTAGTAAAGAGAAATGTTCTAGGCTTATAATTTTATATGGATTTTTTCAAAGTTACTGATTCTTAATTGGTTTCAACATACTTACAATATATTAAATAGCCATCTTTGATTTTCTGAGTGTAGGACCCGACTCCTCCATCCGTCAGCTGCTCGGTTGTTTGCCAACAGTTGCAGAATTTCACTTTCTTTTCAAATTGCGGCGACCTCGATTTATTGCCAGCCCAGCGACATCGCCATGTGGACGAGGTGGATTCCAGCGGAGTGGGATTGGGATTGAGTGACATTGGTGGTGGAGGTGGTTGAGGTGGTGGAGGTGGTTTCGGTGGTGGTGGTGTGGCAGTGGCATTAGTGGCCCCCGCGGATCTGGCTTTGTTTTGATGCGGGCTTAATTGAATTACGTTGGGTCGCAGCTTCTGCTTCTGCGCGAGCTTCGGCTTTACGTGGAAGTATCCCAAATAAGAGACGAGCTGAATAAACACATAAAATAATAATAATTATGGGAAAGTAAACGCCCATTGTTGGCTCTCTTTTCTGTCTCCGTTTTTGGCTGCTTATTGATAACTCTACATTAATGAGAGCTAATTTTCACATAATTAGTTGCCGGCTCACTGGGAGACTGGGAAATGGGGAAATTGGGTACTGGGCAATAATATGGGCTAGGGGTTGCTTGGCTTTGGGTCAAGAGGGGAAAAATAGCTGGGAGAAAACCTCTTCTCGATTTTTTTGAAATTTTACAAAAAAAACTTGTGATTATTTGACGGAAAATATCCGTATTTTGGTGCAATAGTGGAATGTCATACCTCGCTAAGCTCGTAATTAAATTCCAAATCGATTGGCATTAGTCTTGAACATTTTTATTTTTGACACTTTTTCACAAAAAAACATAAAAAACAAGAAAGGAAAGCTAACTTCGGGCGGAGCCGAAGTTGATATACCCTTGCAGAATACTCTGTAAATTATATTCTCCAAAATTATTCATATGATGCATTCTTAATACTCATAAAAAATCCCAACTTCCTATCTTTAAAAACACCAAAGTTACGGCATTTCCGATTAATCAGTTATATGGCGGCTATAGGATATAGTCCTCCGATCCTTATGAAATTTGGTAGGTCGGATTGATTGGCTAAAAATAAAACCCCTAGAAAATCACAACTTCCTAACTTAACAAACACCAAAGTTATGGCATTTCCGATCAATCAGTTATATGGCGGCTATAGGATATAGTCGGCCGATCCTTATGCAATTTGGTAGGTCGGATTGATTGGGCAAATATAAAACCCATAGAAAATCTCAACTTCCTAACTTTACAAACACCAAAGTTATGGCATTTCCGATCAATCAGTTATATGGCAGCTATGGGATATAGTCGTCCGATCCCGGCCGTTCCGACTTATATACTGCGTGCAAAGGAAAGAAGGGTGTGTGCAAAGTTTCAATTCGATATCTTTAAAACTGAGAGACTAGTTCGCGTAGAAACAGACAGACGGACAGACAGATGGACATGCTTATATCAACTCAGGAGGGGATCCTGATCAAGAATATATATACTTTATAGGGTCGGAGATGTCTCCTTCACTGCGTTGCACACTTTTGACCAAAATTATAATACCCTCTGCAAGGATATAAAAAGGAACAAAAATTGTTGTCACATAAGGATAAGGATTGTTAGATTAGGTTATTTACTGCATAAACAGTTCGTCTTTTATCCTTACGGCAAATTTTGGCCAAGTAATAACAAAAACACGATTACAAAATAGTGTTTTTGACGAAAGCCCCCGTCCGGATTTTTCAAACAAAAATATTTTATTTAAAATTCAAAAATCAACCAATCTGGTACAAAATGAAAAAAACAAACACAAAAATACATTTATAATTTATTTAAAGCATTTAAGTTCAAATGTGCTAAAATTCATATGTATTTTAAATGAATAAGTAAATTCTACAGATGCCTATCCCAATTCCCACACTTACAAACGGTTCCCACAATTTCCGTTGAACTTAGGCCGACCTTGTGAGGGGGTGGCTGTGCAATGACCATCAATCGGATCGCATCGAATCGGATGCAGTGCACCCAGCTGGTAATAATTCAAGCAAAATTATGGCCATAAATAATGGCAAATTGTCGTTTAGAGATGCACATGAGTGGGGAGGAAGTCATCAGCCGAGATTTACTTTGTTTTGTTTTCTTGCGGTCGAGTGTGTGGAAGGAAGTATAAGAGAAGAAGGAGGAGGAGGAGGAGGAGGTAGGGATGATGGCCAGTAGCCACTTACCTTGGCTAATTATCAATTTGGACAAGTGACCACCGACCCAGCCCCACTCGACCAACCCAAACAGCCCGGCTCACCTGGAGAAAGTGGCTTCCATGTGGCGTTCGTGCCAATTCTCAACCCCAACTGTTGAGTGAAATGTGCCCGTAAAACATTTCTCTGCCATCTGAAATATTTATAGCCACTATAGATCATTCCCTACTCCGGGATTTTGTCGTTAATGCAGATAAGAATGCTTGAGAATATTCTTTCACTTATTAATAAATAAAAAAACTAGTTACGGTTATAAGAAATGCTTAATATTTTGCCTTTACTTTTTGTTTATGGATGATAATAAACAATAAAGGAGCTCCCCACCTGATAATTGGTTCTTTATCTCACCACATACATATTTCAAAGATTAGTCAGCTTGTTTGTGCTGCCAAAATCAGCTCGTGGAAGTCTTTACAATTAAAATGCCATTATCGTCGTCTAAAAATCTGATATTTGTTTGTTATTGTCGTAGAGTTCTTTTTCAAAGGTTATAAGAATGCCATAGGGTCACCTTTCTGCTAAGCTTGTGAGTAACTTTTCCATGGCTAGAAATTAAATTAGATTTTTGTTAGACTTTGACTACAAAATTGTACAAGTAATTTTAAAATTATGTTTAACTAGGACAATTAACTTAAGGAAATAGTAAGTTGGCTAAAAACAGTTGTGTCATAGAATGTTGTAAGCTAGTAAAATTACTAGGATAATAATAATTTTTCATAAAATAATTTGGCTAGGCGCATCTTTCTAAGAGGTAGGTCTTTTTGCTTTTTGTGCGTATACATTTAAGTTTTTATTTTGGAAAAGTGTAAGTGTCCTAAAAACCCGCGATATTAAAAAGTTTTTCGCTCGACCTTGTCGTTTAATTGCTTTTTTTATTCCCTGGCATTTCTTGATTTGCCAAATGTCAACTGCAAGTCCGCGACGACTGAACCGGATTGGCGGTCTGGTCTGGTGGCACATCTTTCATCTTTGTCCGCAACCGGATCGCCTGCTCTCTATAAATTAAAAGCGTCGGCGTCTGGCCGGGATTTATGGGATGGAAAGTGAAATTTGGCAGCTAATTGGACTAACCCATCTCTCCTTCTCTCCTGTCTTTACAGGCTCTCCATTTGGGACTGGTCACCCTGGTCTTGGCAACTTGGCTGGCCGCATCCACGGCGCAATCCCTGGACCGGACTGGAAGATCGGTGTTGCCCGCTCAGCCGGCGGATCATCTGGTGCCGCCACCACTGCCCATCCCACAGAGACTATCGCACGCGGGCGCGGGATCCCCGGCGGTGCCGCCGTCCTCCGCTCCAGCTACCGTTCCGGAAGCCGCCGGCTTCATGACCCGCGTGGCCAGATGGTTTGGCCTGGGCGGCGCTCAAGGATCGCCCAAGGATCAGCAGCTGAGTGCCACCAACTCCCTGAGCTATGCGTATCCCAAGCCGGTGGCCGGATTCGATGCGGGTGGCAAGCCCTGCAGCCTGTGCAACAAGTATCCCTGGGTGCCCATGGTGGGCCAGCTAAGTCCGCAGCAGCAACAGCTTCCGCAGCAGCATTTGCAAGTGCAGCAGCAGAAACTGCAGCATCTCCCGCAGCAGCAACAGCAGCAGCATCTGCCACAGCAGCAACAGCAACAGCATCTGCCACAGCAGCAACAGCATCTGCCACAGCAGCAACAGCATCTGCCACAGCAACAGCAACTGCAGCACGTCCCGCAGCAACATGCAACATGGCAGCTGCAACAGCCGCTGGCCCAGGCATCACAGCAACGTCAGCGGGCGGTGCAATTCCGTCCCGGCTCCGGACAGACTATCTTCCTGCCCTTGGCGGTGCCACTGCCGCCACTATACAATGCCCAGCCCTTCCGACCGGTGCAATCACCGCCTCCTCTCAAGGAGAACGTGGTGGCCCAGTCGGAGGTGCGACCTGTTCCGGTATCCCTGCCACTGCCCCTGCCCCAGCCAACTCCTGCCCCACCAGGTAGCACCTCCAGCTTCGAGATCGTGCAGAGCCACCAGGTGACGGACTTTGTGACCTCCGTGGAGTACCCGGCCACCTATGTGCAGTCGCATGCCATCGATCTTGGTGCCACAAGCGGCTTGGCGGCTGGCCAGGAGGTGGCTGCCGAGCTGGAGCCACAGCCGGACATCAGCACAGTGCGCTATCAGCTGGAGGATCTGAGCAGTGGTCAGGTGCATCAGCACCTGCCCGCCTCCCAGTTGCTCACGGAGATCGGGCACTTTGCGGAGATCACCACGCAGCCACCGGCGGCAGATAATTATCCAGCGGCCTCGTCGCAACAGCAATTGCAGCAGGAACAGGAACAGGAGCAGGAGCAATCCTTCTACTATGCAGAGCAGTTCCAGGACGAGACCAGCACCCTGGTGTACAGCACCACCACGGAGATACCCACCACGACGACTCCGGCACCGCCACCGTCACCAGCGGCACCTGTTATCGAGCTGAACAACCACCTGGCTGCAGTGCAGCATCCACAGAATTACCGCCAGGGAATCGGAAGGGGCAGGGAAACGCCCAAGCGTCTGCTGGACTCGCCCATCAACCACGCCCCCTTGACAGGCGTAGCAGGAGGTGGAGGCGGTGGACGACCCTTTACCCGCGATCCCGCTGACCTTGGCTTCCGCCTCAGCCAGGTGTACACGCCGACGCAGCCACCCACACCCACCTCCACATACGGAGCTATCGATGCCAGTGGCCAGTTCGCGGGCATGGCGCCACCGAGTCCGCAGCAGGTGATCATACCCTACACCACCAAGCAGCGACCACGTCCCTTCGAGAGCTGGACACCCTCGAAGCAGCTGCACCACCACCAGAACCACCATCACCACCAGAATCTCCACCAGAACCACAACCACCATAGCAACGACCTGGAGGAGGAGCCGCACGAGCAGCAGGAATCCAAGCTAGCCACGGCCACGGTCACGGCACCACCGCTGCCGCCCAACTCACGACGCACCACCAAGTACCTCACCAAGATCCTGGCCACCAATCTGAGGGAGCTGCTCAAGCGGGAGCGGGAAACCAAGAGGCTGCCGGGTCAGGGATTGGGGGTGGACATCTCACGGCTGCAGCAGAACATCGATGGATGGACGGAGCAGGAGTACAACTCCCTGTCGCACCGCCCCAGCACACCCACGATTCGGGGAAGGTCCAAGCACATACCCTCCGAGTACCTGACCACCACCACCACGACCACGCCGGCGCCGATTTCGGTGAGCCACCTGTTTCAGCGCCAGTCGAAGACCACTCGGGGCGAGGGATTCGAGCTGGGCGCCGCTCCGCCCACCGATGCCGGGGATCTGTCCACCTCCATCAACAACCTGGAGCAACTGCATCTGCTGGGCGAGCGGGGAGCGAAGGGCTTCCAGCCCATCGAGGACAATCGCCTGCATTTCGATTACTACGATGCCCAGCAGCGGCCGCGATCCACGCCGGCCATGACCACCCGTAGACCGCCCAGCACACCACCCACCACCCCCAGCACCACCACCACATCGCCCAGCACCACGACGGCAGTGGTGGCTCCGCTCTATGTGCGCAGCACGCCGGCGCCCAAGGAGCTGTGGAAACAGGCCCAGGTGGCCATCCTGCCGCAGACCAACGAGAAGGTGTACGTGGTCACGCCACAGCCCCGCCACCAGGAGTACCACCAGGAGCCCCACCAGGAGCAGGAGCACCGGGATCGCCACGAGGCCTCCGCCTCCGCTCCGAGGCCCGTGTACCAGACGCCAGCGCCGCGGTTTCCACGGATGCGACCCACTCCAGGTAAAACGAGCAGATACTTAAGTAATCTTTAAACGAGGCATCAGCATGAATCAACAGTGTTCGAATCAATCTGTCACAGTGTGTTTCGATGATTCGTAAAGTATCCCAGTTGACCAAATGAATCATATGATTCGATGATTCCATGTTTCAATGATCCAAAACAGTAAGCTCCCGATATCTTGAATCATTTTCGCTTCATCTGGTACAAATAGCTAAACCTTTTGAGATAGCAGTGTCATCAAATCATACTGTTGAGTCATTCAGGGTTATAATAAACACTGATTAAAATATTAATTTGGTTGGGATACTTTTATTTTCAAAGCGTACAGGCTGTTAATTGAGATAGGAAAAATAATATTTAATATTAATATTTAATGCTAAAGGTTGAGTATAAACTAATTATTTTCTTTTGGCCGTAAATCATTCCATTACAACCCGACTTGCTAATCTTGATCCCTTTTTTCGGATTTAAAAAAATAAAATTTCCATGTGGGATTAAAGCAGTGAAGTAATAAAAACCAGGTTCTTTGACTGTATCTAATTTGTTGAAGATGATGAATGTAGAAACTGTTTTTTAGTTTTTCTGCCTTGCAAATTCGTTCTAAAACATATTTTTTTGAGACAAACAAAGCTGTATTTTGGACACCTTTTCTACCATTTACTAACCTTTTTTTTAGCAGGTGAAGTGAAGTCGGCCACGCCCACCAGTTCGTCACAGCTGAGGAACTATACGCCGGACATTTTTGGACTGATGGGACTGTCCGCGTATGTGCCCGCGGAACCCGTGGAGATTATCGACGGAAATTCCAAAGTAAATCGCAACTCACCTCGTCTAGACATGTAATCGAGCTTCTCTCTTGTCTCCACCACACACATTGTGCACCACATTACACCTCATTGCATCTGAACCACGCCCACATGCACCAAACACCCACCACACACCACCCACATTTCACCACACACCACAGGTCAACACGATAGTGACGGCAGCGCCGACGGCGGCTGCGCTGCAGCGACCCACAGCGAAATCCACGATGTCGCCCTCGCCCAGATAGAGGTCAAGGCGAAGGTCAAGACCCCCCCCCACCCCCAACTGTTGTAATATATTTCCCCCCAACCCCCGGCCGCCCCTTCAGCCAACCGAGGATGCAACCTAGATTTTAGAGCCAAGTCTTTGGAAGTGCTACGATAAGAGATCCGATCCCGAATCAAAGTTAGAGTATTTTCGCATTTGGTAGCTTTATAGAGACGACGAGAAGAGGACCATGATGAGTATCCAAGGACATAGAACCAAAGGAGTGGAGTTACCCCTAGTATATATCCGCAAAAAGATTCGTATTCGTATTCGCATTCGCCTTCTTTTTTTGTTTTTTTTTTAGCAATCTCTGATATTTGCTCGGTTTCCCTTTTGCTAGCTGTATGTAGTTCTATGTATAAATATATCTATTATATCTATTTCAATCTATCCGAAGAGTTGGTTGTCAGGCGATTGACAACGCTATAATCGATGTGCAACCAAAACATAGCAAAAATGAACAAACAAAAGATTAAATAAAATAAAATAAATCGAAGTCATTTTAATGTACCTACTCTACCTTGTAAGTATGATTGAATAAAAATAAAATATCATCCGACTTTTAATAAATAAAATGGCAGGTATGATTAATTGAATCACTTTGTGTTGTAAATGTATTTAGGTATTCGGATTCAACTTTATAGGTTCATTAAGAACCAAAGAACCCAATATAATACATATAAACGAATACCCCAAAAAGTATGCTACAAAAAATGTACCAAAATTTGAGCGTAATTAAGCACACTTTTGAGGATTTAAAGACTGCAGTTAACATTATTGTTTGGGCACATTTATTATACAAAACTTTTCCTTAAAGCTAGCAAAAAAAAGTGTTGATCCTATGCTACAATGTCATTGAGTTGCATACCGCCATCTGAGGACCTCCTCAGCTGTCCAACAATCGCTGCCTGCGCCGATACCGCCGAACAAGTGCCTCCAGGGACCAGGAGGCAGCCGCCACGAAGGACATCATATTGAGGCAGTGCAGGGTAACCGAAAAGTTGTACCGATCCCGGATTAAGCCTGGATAAATAATGGAAAAACAAATATCACAACTGGGAAATATTTACGTGGCTAACATAATATTTATGTAAAATGAAGATAAATTTGATCTTGTTTCGTACCTTTAAGCCAACATGATAAATATAAAGACAATATTTCAAGACCATCAAGTTGATAATATTAAGAAAATCAATAAGAACTTCTTTTTTTATGACAATAACATTTATAAAGATCAATAAGATTATTCTTCAAATTAATAAAATATTTTTAATGTCAATATGAAACTAAAGAAGATCAAAATAATTTGATTTGTTTTAAACTATATAACTATACATTTAACAAAACATATTGGCTGGATCTTTATTCATATTTTTTTAGAATATTAATTAAATTTTAAAGTCCATGATTCATTTATCAAATTCAATATTTAAATAAGCTAATTTAAAGGAGATCAAAATCTTTTAATGGCTAACTTGACATGACAATGTCTAGGTATTTTGAAAAAGATCAAGTTAACCAGCACATATTGGCTTTAATTTTTTTCATATTGGTTTTGGCAATATTAGCTTAATTACTTCTAAATAAATATGTTAAATACGTTAAAAATATAATATAAAAGAAAATATGATCGTTTTTAAAATGGTATACAAAATTCAAAGCATATCAAGGGGATTGTTTCATATTGGCTGGATTCTTATTCATATTTCGAATTCGAGAGCAAAGAACACTTACCGACAAATGGTCCGCCGATGAAGGTGAACAGTCCGGAGATCAGGAGCTGCAGTCCGGAGGCTCCTGGCAGGCGATTGAGCGGCACGTAGCCGGGTATGATCAGTGGCCAGAAGATGGTGCGCACCCCCTTGCAGAGCCCGATCCACACGAAGCTTGCGAGGATCATGCTGTAGGATCGCGTGCAGGCCACCACCGTGCGACCGATGGCGATGCCCACCACTCCGATGAGGAAGAAGACCCGGTTGTCCCACGGAATCTTCTCGGTGAGGAAGGGCACCAGGAATCGCATGGTTATGTCCACTCCCGCCAGCAGCGACATGGCCAGCGTGATCTGCGGCTTGTCGAACCCAAAGTCATCCAGGATGAAGGGCGTCAGTATGGAGAAGTTGAGCTCCCCGAAGTTGATGATGGTCAGTCCGGCCACCAGATTGACGAAGGTGAAGTCGCGCAGCAGGTCCAGATCGAAGAAGGTGACCACTTTGGCCAGGAAACTCATCTGCGGATCGTGGAGCGGTGCCTCCACCTCGGGCTCCTTCCCCTTGTTATTGTTGTGCTCCTCCCGTTTCTGGGCGCACTGGCAACGCAACTTGGCCTCCAGATTGGACTCCACACGCTCCCTGCGAAAGTTGTTGGGCCGCAGGAACTCCTCGGCCTCGTTGCTCTGCTCCTCGCTGATGGGGCAATGCAACCTCTGGGTCTGCTCCAGATCCTTGGAGCTGGAGATGGTTCGAAATCGATGGCGCCCGGAGGCGAGGGACAGCCGCGATCCGTACCATCCATCGTTGGCCCGCGAGAGCATCGGCGTGCCGGGCTCACAGATCTCGTAGCCGGGTCGCTGGGCATCGTCGTCCTGGCACAGGTATTGGCTGGTAAAGATGCCGCCCGGCTCGCGCTTCTGCTGCCAGGCACAGTGGGCACACAGCGGCTCCGGCTGCTGCTCCTGATCCGGCGGTTCGTCCACCTCAGCCGGCGGCCTCACATGGTAGCGCACCGGCTGGTAGATCAGCGCACACACGAAGGCGTGCAGCGAGATGGCCGCGAAGAGCAGCGTCGTCCCCTGGACCCCGTAGATGGTCAGCATGAAGGTGACCAGGTGCGGCAGGAAGATCGGACCCAGGCCCGTGATCGTCCACGAGAAGCCCGCCGCCCGACGACGCTTCTGCTGGAAGTACGTGTTGATCGCCAGCGAGGAGGCCGACACACTGATGCCCATTCCAAAGCCTGCGGATCGAGAGAAAGGATTCTTTTAAACGAAAACTCACTCTTGAGAACTTTAATCTTTATCGGCAATTGTAAAATTTAAAATTCACAAATTATCCTGTTCGGACCATTCATTTACAAACCAAACACATTTAAATAAATCTGAATGTATTTGATTACATTTTTACAAATAAAAAATTTAATTTCCCAAATCTAAAATGTGAAAAAAATTGTATTGGTTCGTTAAAGATTAACTTGTTAATAGAAAATACAAAACAGCTGATTTAAAATAAAAGATAAGATAAAATGGTACAAAATAAATGTTAATTAAAAAAAAGTGTTCGTTTTAATTCAACAATAATAAAAGCTAATTGAGATAAAACTACTGTATATCAATTAAAGTCCATATAAGTATTATACAAATGTAAAGATATTTATTTTAATTTTGGTTACTATTATCTTTAATGACAATGATGATTTTGAAGTATATATATTCTATATTAAACTCAAATACAAATGTGCATAATTTGTTTATTATCACACATTTTCGGAACAGTTGCAATATTAAGCAAAAAGTCTAGTGTCTTATGACGTTAAGGTTGTTTATTATCATAAGCTTACGATACCATAAATCACTTACCAAAGAGCAGGGCGTATGCCACCATATAACCCAGGAAGGTTTCGCAGAAGGCGGTCAATACGATGCCGCCCGAAATGAGAAGGGCGCCGGCCATGGCCACCTGCCGAAAGGTGAACCTCCTGAACATCGGTCCATTTAGCAGACCCGTGCAGGCCGACACGGCCGGATTTGTGTTGATGATCGTCGTGATCTCGGAACTGGACATGCCCAGATCGCCCAGGCGGTCCTTGAACAGGAGGCCAAACTGTTGCAGGCAGGGGTAGATGGAAAGCTGTAAGGGATATGCATTTCAGCAATTCGGAATGATTAACAATTGACTTTGACATCGGTACATACTGACCTACCTTTTTTTAAATTACTTATTTTTTAAGAACAAATGAAATCATTAATCACAAAAGTGACCTAAAACCTGCACTGAACTTTCCTCAAAAAGCTTGTTGTTTAAAGCTTTTTGAGGAAAGTTATGGCTCAGTGCAGGTTTTAGGTCACTTTTGTGACCTTTTTCCCCAAAAATCTGAATTCAAACATTGTTTTAAATTTTTTTTTTGATTTTTGTCATTTATTATGAGGTAACCCCTTTCCAAATGTTCGAAAAATGGTTTTGCAGAAAAGTGACCTAAAATCTGCACTTCTAAGCCGATAACTTTTCTAATTTAAATCCGATTTAAAAGTAGCTTACTTCTAAATGATTGTTGATGTTCTCTAAACATCTGTATAATCAGCTTGGTTTGTATTTTTGGGTCGATTTTTCGTCATTTTCAATAAGGTAACCAAATTTTCGAAAATTGTTTTGCAAAAAAGTGATTCAAAACCTGCACTTCTCAGCCCAGACTTCTCAAAGAAATATTATTTAATTTCCTAAAAATCTGCGTTCAAAACATGTTTTTTAATTGTTTGTCTTTTTTATGCCCTTGCAGCGGTATAAGTATATATTCTTGATCTACATCACCAGGCGCTATCTAGCTATGTCCGTCCGTTCGATCCTTCGGAAACTAGTATCTCAGTTTTCAAGATAGTTGGAAGAAACCTTGCATAAAGTCTTCTTTCTGTTGCAGATAGTTTATAAGTGGAAAAGGACCGGATCGACCTACTATATCATATAGCTCCCATAAGAAATCTGAACCTATACCCTATGCTTTAGTTCCCATTAGGATTTCATAACTAAGGAACCTTTATTAGGTATACAATTCCATATGGAGCTCAATTGGCTTGCTTTTACCTACATTGGAAACGCCAGCGGCGACGCAGACGATCCACGCCCATCCCGCGTCGGGGGCCACGAAGTCCTCGCCCAGATCGCTCTTGTCCTGCTTGTTGTAGTACCGCGTCCGAGTCTTAGGCAGCGGACGGGTGGTGTCCTGGTAGACCTTCTTCTCCATGGCAGTCACTCGCTGGAAAAAAAGGAGGAGAGCTCTGAGTGACCCTGACGATTCCATTGGGCAATAAAATGAGGAAATGATATGGGAAAAATTCCGTTGAAGCCCCAGTTCGTAAATGATTTACGGCAATTATAGTTGTGGACTGGGCGCAATCAGTTAACGATCACTTGTCCGCAATTAACCGCATACGGGCTATGAAGATGCGGCCAAGCAAAAAGGAAGATCGCTGGCATAGTTTTGCAGTATTACAGTGTTGTTGCCAGCGGACGAACAGAACCGGGTTCACGGCTGCACGTTAAGACATCTCAAATCTCCGGCTCTCTTCACCTGCGGCTTTCTTATCAGCAGCACCGTCATGTGACAGATTCCGAGCCAGAGACGCGACCAAAAGTTAGCACGCAAATTGTGAATCATGTTATTGTCCTCTATGGATTATACATAGAAAAAAGTTTTTTTATTGAATCAACATGTTTCATTTACTGTATTGATAGTTATATAAAACATAGAAATTGTTATCTTAATGCATCATCTTGTCTAAGTATTAATTAAAATAAAGTTAAGTAGCAATGAAAATTGTGACATTTTGATTTTTTCTTCTTCTTGTGCCTTTATAATTCTCAACTGGTTCTAGCGGGCACATGCATAGACAACCTGAAGTCTCCCACCGAAAAGTTAAAACTTAATGATGATTTCTGTAAATCTTCATCTACTTCCACACTAGCTGAAAGACTAAACTAAACTAAACTTCCAACACTTTATTTCTTGGTAAACTCAACTAGCTTACAAAGAATTTTTTTCTGTGTCTCCATACGATTCGCGATTCCGAAGAGCATCACCGGCCCAAGGTCATTTGTGTCTGGTCCGTAAGATGACCTCTTATCAGTAGTTCGTTGCTTCATTCCGTAGAGCCAACGATTGAATCCCCGATCTCTATGTTTGCCATCAATGGAAAGCGTAGTCTCCAAATTCCGAACTTTTCCGGTTTTTAGATGCGTTGGGGTGTGCAAAAAAATAAACAGATTAATGGTGAAATAGGGTGGAAATTAAGGGGCAATCGATGTGAAGAAACTAGGTCAAAGTGATGCTTCTGGATAATGAAATAATTCAAATAACATACAAGACCCACAAAAAACCTATATATTCTATTAGAAATAAATATTGGATGATAACAAATGACAAAAAGTATACTTTTTGGTGTAACACACCACGACAATCACGCCGATGAGAAATAAAAACAAATAGTAAATAGTTCTTACGTCGTGACTAATCATTTAGCTAAAGATTTTATTTTAACGACAGTTGAGGTGCGTAAAACTCTGATAACAAATACAACTGATAGCAAATAAGGTCTTAGACACCCAGTTCGATCAATACAATACAATTGAAGGAAGAATTTAATTGAGTTTAATTGAGTTGACTATACATCTCAATACTAATTTCAAAAATATTCCACTAATAATTGTTTTGGTTGAATCATTACAGATATATTTTGGCAACAATTCAATTAATTCAATTAACATATCTAGAAACTTTACCAAAGATGAGAGGAATCGATGTTAAACTGATGTTAAAGAAACCAGCACATTTGTATATGTCATTTAACCGTATTAGTAAGAAATCTGGAACGTTATATACTATATTAAATAGTTAGAAATTTTTAAGCATAACCAGCACGTTTTTACAATTCAACCGATAGTTGTAGTTCGAAGTACATACTTTTTGAACTATTTGTAATTATTGCACAGCTGCTAAAATGTTATTTAGTTGTTGCCTCGAAGTTACAAAAATATGACATTTGCACGTCGCTCGTAAATCATTTGACAAAATATCGTAACTTAATTGCAGATTAACCTAATTTTAAACCAATTTATTTTTGGCATGGCAAGAATATTATTGCAATTAGTTTTGTATGTCCATAATTAAAATTTAGGTAGCTCAGAAATATTAGTCGTACTTTTAAAAGTGTATATGTTATCCTATTGTTTATTGGTTAAATATTCTTTATGCATCGGTCTTTTGCGAATAAACTTTGAAAAGCTAAACTTTTGATTCACTCAAGTTGATGGAAAACAATTGGCACGGCCCTAGATACAGATCCAGATAAGCAAAGCCCAGTAACTATGGATTCATCGATAAGGGTGATAAGATTGCGATGACGACCATTTACATGGGACTAGGCAGTTTGGCTTCTTTTGGCTCTCAACCCGATGCCACATATTTGGCCAACAGCTGGACTCTTAGATAACCAACTATTGGGTTATTGACACTTTCCCGCCACTGTCGAGGTTGTAATAATATTAAATATGTTGATAAGGGCTAGTGATTTTTTATGCATTTATATAAGTCAGGCAATTGTTTTCTAAAGATTGATTTGCTAATTAAAAAAATAATAATAATCAAAGAAATGGTGACTAGTGCTATCGGTAGATAAATAAAAAATAGTTATAAGACCAAAGAATTTTCCGTGTTCAACTTTTTAGTATTTTCGAAAAAAAATTAGTGAGATGTCTTGAAAACTTTGTTTGGTTTTTAATATTCGAATGTCTTTTCTGTCAAAACAAATTTTGGTGAGGCTTGAATATCGTTATGAAAATTGATGAAAATATTGTATTTATCTTAAATATTGCTATAATCCATTCTTCAGATCACTAACGAATATGTAAATACTTTGCATACTTTTGAACTACCACATTTTCTACCAGAGTATAGAAATATTGGTTTTAACTCCAATTCAACACGCTAGCAAAAATATTTTTTAAATAATTAAAATATTTATTTGCGCTTTTCTTCGCAGCATTTTTTGTTTTGTTTGATTCTAACGAGGCCGTAGTAATCGGGGGGAATCAATCAGGTGTTCTGAACATCTTGCTGATAGCAGGGCGGATGAAGTCGTGCGAGGTGTGTGATGAGAACATGTCGCACCCACAATCCTATATTACAATTCCCATTCCCGATTCCCGCCCACCTGCATACCTCTATTCTATGCCTCAATGGGGTCCGTATAGTATATCCTTGGCAAGCCCGCAAATTGGCAGCACAGTACTTCCTGCGCTGGCTTTTATTTTGGGTTAGTGCTGCTGCTGCTGCTGCCGCTGCTGCTATTTATTTTTATACACTCCGAGATGCACTCACTCACTCACTGACCATCTGACTGACTGGCCTGCATCTAATTGAGAAACAAATCGCGGAATATGGGGGCCAAGTTCAAGGTTGCCGAGGGGTGAACCGGTGGAATGGAGGCCACTTCTTGGCTCATCTGGCGCCACAAAATCTATAGATCCCGAAACCAAAACCAAAACCGTAACCGTAACCGAATTCGAAATCGCAATCGAATCAAAAACTCGCTTCACAGGTGCTATTCGGTCGTAATCGCGGAATCGCTCGAAATCGCTGCCATCGCCGCCAGCTGCGGAAATGAACTAAAGCGAATCTGAACGGAGCAGAATCAGAATGGCTGTGAGCAGCTGAAAAACGCCGCCGATGGGAAGATCGGATCGAGTAGCGCCAATCGATCGGCGCTACTACGACCACGACCACGACCACGTAATTTAGCAGAGCGGTACGCTGTTGATTTTAACAGAGCTGCTCGCGGAATCGAGATGAGGCAATAGTGTTGGCCCTTCGCGAAATGGATCTTCTCTTCCCGGCGAAAACAAACTATTTTGGGGCGCCGTTTTCTAAACTTTCCATTCGAATTTCGTTGGACCAACTGATATGTTGACGTGTGGTTCATCTGCGCTTTGATTGGCAATCATTGCTGGCGGTGGAACGTGGTAGCCCAAAAGTGGGCAGCAAACTTGGGATTTAATTGGGTCTTATCAATACACTCGTACGCACATAATCCAATTTTATTTATTCGATGGATAAAGTATGAAAGGGCTTCACTTTCACCTTGAAATCGAACCCATATAAATCATATCTCGTATTCTGCTAACTAATGCCCAATATTTTTAGTCATTAGCACTATTTTTGGTACAAAATACCATTTCTTCTTACTTCAGGAGTAGTTGCTATTCAAAGTAACAGTTATAGGAAACAAACATCATTAACTAATTATTTTTCTTCAGAATAAAAGTTTTAATAAATTGGGTTTTATATACAAAAACAAGAGAGAACGCTATAGTCGGGTGCCCCGACTATCAGATACCCGTTACTCAGGTATAGGGAGTGCGAGGGAGATGGAGATAGAAACTTTGATCACGCATAACTTTATAACGAATGGTCCGATTTGAAAAATTTCTTCTACATTTCGATAGGTATTGATAAACACAATAAAACTGCATTTTTACTTTTCCGAAATATTTAAATTTTTAAAATCGTATATAAGCGATTGTGGGCGTTAAAGGGGGCGTGGCACCTTTTTGAAATAAACTTGCGCTGCGTAGGAACTCCTAGAATCTGCATGCAAAATGCCAATCTTCTAGCTTTTATAGTTTCCGAGATCTCAGCGTTCATACGGACGGACAGACAGACGGACAGACAGACGGACAGACAGACGGACAGACGGACAGACGGACAGACGGACATGGCTATATCGACTCGGCTAGTGACCCTGATCAAGAATATATATACTTTATAGGGTCGGAAACGCTTCCTTCTAGCTGTACTTTTGCACGAATACAATATACCCTTTTACTCTACGAGTAACGAGTATAAAAAATCTTTTGATTTTTTTTTTACATTTCAATGGAGTTTTTATTTCCTCATGATTAAAAGTATATTCATATATTGAGATTTAAATTCCACCAAACGCGCGCCAATCCCCGCGAGAGTATATTAGTTGGTAAAGATACTCTTTTTTTGTACCTAGATAGAGTAAGGTTTTTGGAAAAATAAGCACGTATGTAAGGTAAAAGATACGTACCGTATCTAGGTTCATATGTGTAAAATGTAAAATTTGTTTAGCTATTTATTAAAAAAATAATTTTAAAACTTTAGCGAATCGACTTAAAGAGTGTGGTTATTATATAAAATTTGAATTTAAATTGTTATTAAATTATTCTAAAAAAATTGTAGTACGTAGATATCAAATTCTGGTTCAAAGCCCACCGCACAGGAATTTGTTTTATTCTCTATTAAAAATTGAAATGTTTGAAAATATGAAGCAATGAACTGACATATCGTGTTTTTATTGTTGAATAAGCTAGGTAATTTAAATTCAAAATCACTACTCAGGTAATGTAGAAGATAGATATTCTTGTTGGTACCAACAAATGTTGCAGAGGTACGCATCTAGGTACTTTTCGAACACTGGGAATACCTCATATATATTCCCGATCCTAACCAAATGGTATATTCCTCCACGGGCACACTGGCCCAAGTGCCGGTTTCGTTTCACGTTGCCACATTCGTTTGGTTGCTGTTTTATCCAACTTACTGAGGAAATTTTGGGACTTGGTGCGGAGGAAAATGTCGGAAAAGTACGGAAAACTGCAGCAGCAGTTCCTCTGCTGCTATCCCGTGAACAAGATGGCCTGGTCGGTGAGTGGGCACCTGCAACACCATGTAGCCAGCCACCTGTTGCATCTCAATCAGTAGTATATTTGTTTTTCAATTGCCTTCTTAGTTCTATTGATTGTAATGTAATTTGAGATTAAAGCCGTAGGTCACTATAGATAGATCATCTGAAACTATTTACTGTCTATTCGATATCATAGGAAATATGTATATCTAAAGATTGTTTTCTATCTGAGAAATTAGGCATATTTACATAGATACATATTCTTAAAAATTCTTTATTTTTACGTTAACTATTGTGCATACCAAATAATGAATATTTATTTGCAGTCGGTGAAGCTGCCACTGAATTGGGATGAGCAGCAGGAGCTGTTGGCGGCCACTTGTGGACACCCGATGAACCGGCGACATCCGGTGCGCCGCAGCTACTTGGAGGCCTTCCTCAAGCAGCTGATGCACCTGCTCAAGGATCAGGAGGACGTGCACGACGACATCTACAGCCGCTTGTGCGGCGGGTTGGGGGAGGGTAAGGGATCGGGATCGGGATCGGGATCGGGCACATCGTATGCCTACAAGCACTACCTCATTAGTCCGGGCGCCCACATAACGCTCCGCGAGTGCAATAGCTTCGTCAGCGAGGGCACCACGGGATTGTGCACCTGGGAGGCGGCCCTGGCCCTGGCCGATTACGTCCTGCAGCACCGCGACCTGGTCAGCGGCAAGAACATAGTGGAACTGGGCGCCGGAGCCGGACTCGTGGGCATCCTGCTCAAACTGCCCGGCCTGGAACTGAAGACGGGCCAGGTGCTCCTCACCGACGGCAGTGAACCGTGTGTGCAGCTGATGCGCGAGAATATCGCCTTGAATTTCCATAACACCCCAGTGGAGGAGATGCCCCAGGCGGAGCAGCTCGACTGGGATGCGGTCGCCGAGTTCCCGTGGAAATCGCACGCGGATACGGATCTGCTACTCGCCGCCGATGTGATCTACGATGACTCCCAGTTCGATGCCCTGCTGGGTGCCCTGGACTACTTCTACACGAGGCGAGGTGGCCAGCTGGAAACACTTCTGGCCAGCACGGTGCGGAATGTGGACACGCTGCACAAGTTCATGACCCTGCTGGGTGAGTGCCTGTCCCGGCTTCCGTAATCTCTTTCTCAATGACTGCTTTCAGGCCTGCATGGATACAAGGTGACTCCCTGCGCGAATGTTTCCGCTTGTGCCAGCCACTTTTGTCGCGATCACACCGCCGCCGTTCAGATTATCTCCATTCGACGCTAGTTTTAGTCCTAAAATAAACCGACACAACGAAAGCAAACACCCACTATCTGGATCCCACTTAAGAGCTTTATTGTTCCGCTGTTTGGATTGTAATTAACAGGATTCGGCGGGGAGATATGTCTAAATCTTTTTTAACCATTCATTTTTAAATTTCGTTCATGAAATAGGTGTATCTTCAATAAGGGTACAGTATAAATTCCGGACTATCAAAAAATAGCATTGTAGAATCAATCATAAAACGCTTTGATGAAATAAGTAGAATATAAGCTTAAACTAAAAAGTCTATTTATTTTTTGGTAATTATGGAACCTACGAAATTTATTTGTTTCTTTTTTCCTATTGTAGTTAACAGGCTCCAACGGAAGATGTGCAGATGATTTTACTGGCCATTCCTTCATTTTATTAAAAAAAAAGGTTATTCTGACTGCACAGCTATCACTAGTTTATCAATGATGAAAAATATCAAAAAATAGGATTGCAAAATCAATGATTACTTGATGAAATCCGTGAAATCTGTGAATTTCAAATGACAAGTCAATATATTTTTGGGAAAATAAATAAATTATACTTGGGAGTGTAATTGTCCCCCTTTTTGAATTGTTATCAAAATAACACATCCAACGGCGGATTGGCATATAATTTTTACTGGCCAATCCTTTATTTAATTCATTATATCTAAATGTACAAAAATCACAAGTTTATCAACTTCGGAAAAACCATTGATCACAGATTCGACGCATTGATAAAATTAGCGGAATACATGAATTTATTCATTTCTAGCTTAAGAAATTAATTGTCCCTCTTCTTAGATTTTAATAAAAAGGATTCGGTGAGAGATATATTATTCATGGAATAGTGTCATACAGATTTCTGAATAATCAGTCTTACGAATGACGCCGCAGTAGAAAAATATAAACAGTGGATTCCCGACAGAGAAGTCGATTTATTTTTGATCAATTAAATACTGAGTATTTTGAATAAAGTAAGAAACACTACGTTTAGATAGAGGGAGTGCTCTATAAATTAATTCCGCGACTTTCAGGCTCACTGACTGATGGTGGGAATGGTGCCGTCGTTCAGCCAGCGGACGTTGAGCTGCTCGATCTGGTGCTTCATGAAGATGATGCCGTACACCTCGTACTGGATCTCCAGCAGCTGGGCGCGATGCGTCCGCGGGAGCTTCATGCCGACGACCAGGGCCAGTAGCGAGGTGATGATCATGAAGACGAATCCCTGGGCCATTAGGGTGCTCGAGTCGGTGGCGTAGAAGTAGGAGTTCTTCGCATCCGCCACGAAGTAGAAGTACACCATGCTGGTGCAGACCAGTTTGAGGATGTAGGAGGCGCATATGATGCACTCGGTGAAGCGCAGATGGGTGACCTCCAGCAGGGCGATCTGCTGGCTGGAGTAGGCCAGGCCGAAGAGGACGAGGAGCAGCCAGAGCGGCCACCTGGACTCCGTGGCGCTGCCGAGGATCATGGCCAGCAGGGTGCAGAAGACGAGGGCCACCTGCGATCCCACGAAGGTGACCTTCACGGACAGGAACCACTGGCAGACGAGGGCCAGCAGACTGCCGCCGAAGATCACCCAGAACATGGCGTCCACACCGGAGAATGCCGTCAGCCGGATGGCCGGATTCAGGGCGAACCAGTAGACAAAGTACACGAACAGGGCGAACTGGACGGCCTCCGTGAAGAGCAGGAGCAGCATCATGTTCCACTGCTGGTTCTTGGTCACGTAGAAGAACTGCAGCCGCTTGATCACCTCCGGTCGGCTCTCGAAGATGCTGCCATTGGAGTTGGCTATCCGCAGGTCGTTGTCCATGCTGTTCTCCAGGTCTACCCTGCCCAGAAAGTGCAGCACCTTCTGGCCCACCAGGATGGCCAGGATAACGCCAGCCACACTCAAATACGTACCCGCGAGGTTCACGTAGATCAAGTCGATCAGTTGCTCCGTGCTCGCCTCTTGACCCGCCCACTTCTCCACATTCCGGCTGTAGGCGGCCACTATCAGACTGACCGCCGAGGCCACGCCCAGCAGGTAGCAGCTGCAGCTGGCCGAGATCAGGAGCGCCCGGCTGCCCTTCGAGCTGATCGTGTGCAGGAAGCTGAGGCCGGCCACGAAGGTGGTGCTGTGCGCCACGTACGAGATGTAGGCTCCGACGTGGTCTGCAAAGCCAAAATGGGTTAGAGTTTATGCACAAAAGTATTACCAAATTATAACTATATTTAAAGAAGGTCAAAAACATATACACATTTTATATAAAGAACCTTTACATAATCATACTCCATATTTGTTGTATTACCACATAAGAATATTCAAAACCTTTAAATAAGAAATAAAAACAAACTAAATTACAAACAGCCAACATTTAAAAGGAGTTTTATTAGTTTGTTTTTGATCTCCAGCATTATATTTAGGAATATACATTTTATATAAAGAACCTTTACATAATCAACTTTATTTGACAGCTAATTTCTACAAATTAAACTTTTTTGATTCCATAATTTTTGTATAATTGGCAAATGAAAACAAATGAACAAAATATGCAGAAGAAATTGAAGATAAAATAGCAAACTATAAGAATTAACCAAGAGAGAAAAGAAATCATAATTCTTGCATAGCCGTCTTATATTTATTTATTTCTCAATAATGTTTAACATATCTACATTGTTTAACCAATATAAGTGCATATTTATCTTTAAAACTTTTTAATTTAATATCTAGACTCCTCTTTTCTAGAAACTCTTTCTAACTTGGTACCGATTTATCCCAAATTAAATTCGCTGTCCATTTACAAGATGTGTAACTTGCATTAACCTACGAGTATCCCTCCTAAAACTTATACTGTAAGTATAAGGTCTTTGACGTTGTATTAATTTAGTTCTTATTTAATTAGTTGCATAGGAACCGTTTGTAAATAAAGAAATCCCAAATTAAATTCGAAGGAAAATAAAAAATAAATGTTGTTTTTATGAAAAAATTGAAAAAGAAAACGTATTTATAGGGTGTTTTTTCTTTTAATAAAAAAATTAGAAGTAGAAAACAGCTCAAAGTTCTTTGTTCCATGAATTTGAAAAAAATCGGAAAATAGCCGAAAATAGCTTAAATGCAATGGCTAAATAGAGTATTAGTGACTCACCAAATCCATCGGGAAAGTAAAAGCAGCTGGCGACGAGGTTGAAGATGCCGGCGAAGAGGAGCAGCCACGGCTGCCAATAGACGATGCACTTCTTCACGAGCTTGACCCCCAGCATGGCCAGGGCAGTGAGGAGCGCCCAGCAGGCGCCCAGGATCAGCGGACCATAGTAGGTCAATCCCGAGTTCAGATTCCGTTCCGCGACAAAGGCACAGATCGTATAGCCGAAGATCATGCCGCAGGGCAGGAAGCTCAGGCAGACTGGGAAACAAAAGGAGAGATAAGATCGCAGGATTTCCATGAGGAGATCTCCTTTAGTAGGGTGACTCACCCACATAGCTTGGCGCATACTTGAAGAACTTCAGCACCAGTTTGCCCCACACATTCGTCATGGTTCACGAGAAGATTACTCCAGCGGGGTGGTGAACGGAGGAGCTTAGAGCATTTTAGCAAGCAGCTGGAGCGGAGATACCCACGATGAGCACCCAGACGCAAATGGGCCAGTTGAAGTCCGTCGGCGGAGTCGACTGCGACGAAGGCGGCCAAGATAAGGCGATAAGATAACCCGACCAGGTGCATATGTGTGACCATGGTTACACTGGGGAAAAACTTAAATATTAAGGATAAGCTCTCTTGATATTGTACTCTTATGAATTTAGAATATTTCTGCATTTTATGAAAGAATTCATTAAATGTCTTGACAGAATATTATACATTAAAAAGCCACTTACAATGCCTTCAATATAATTTACTTTTCTGACCACTTGGAGTTAAAGAAGTTTTTAGCACACACCACCACTACAGAAATAATAGTTTTAAATATTTGGATACCGTAGCTTAACTAACTTTGATTCTGTGTTGATCTTAACTTATTATTTAAATATGTAAACTTGAAAGGTTTTAATTCTCTCTTTGATTATTATTTTGTTTGAAGAAAATGTATTTTGTAAAATAAATGTTATCAATAGAAATTTTAATTAATTGATGTCGTTTAAATAAATTTTAATATTCAGGCTTAAATCAAATGCTATTTTTAAGTGAAATTACAACGTTTGATTATTTTTCACAAAAACATATTTAGTAATCTTGAATTAATCAATGTGTGAAATTGTTATGTTTAAATGCATTTTAAAATTCAGGCTTAAGTCACATGCTTCTTAGGAAAATCTCAGATATAAAAGTTTAATATTTAATGGCTAATTAATCTTGGCAATATATTTTTTTGAAAGAAAAAACCTTTTTTTCCGCAAGTGTATCCCCGTTTGAGTGACTAATGCCGCAGTGGAGTAAGCCACTTGGCCAGATAAACAGATGTCCGCCGCTTGATAAGTCCCTCGGGAGTTGGCTTAGGACTTGAGTGAGGGCCCCTAATGTTGAATTCACCCTCTGGAAATGCATATATGTTTGGCCATTTCCCTGCACACCTAATACATATACACACATGTTTAAGACCATGCTTCTATTCATTTGCTAAGGCTTAAAACTAATCTTGAATGGCTAATGTTGATAGGGAATTCAGGCAATCGAACGTCCGGCGATAAAGCTTGGGAAATTGATTTCAATTGAATATTAAATGCCAGTGGGTATTTTATCAGGCATAAATGGGCCTTGGCTGGCGGGGGGTAGGGGGGTGATTAAAATGGGCGGGGGTAAGTTCTTAGTTAGTTTGTTTACCTTAGAGCAGACAATTGATTGCAGCCGAGAGTGAAAATTAGAGAGCGGCGAGGAATAAATGAGAAAATATGAGGCTGCAGAGAGAACAAGGTGTATTAAATTGTACAGTGACATTCCCAGCCAGCTCTCTCCGTGATTCTACATACAAAATTATATTGCGACCGGAATAGGAAGCTAAAAGTAATATATACAGTTTACTTAAATTGAATACTCCCCTAAGCAAGTCAGTCTTAAAAATAATAATAATTAATAATAATAATAATAATAAAAAGTCAAATAAGTTTTTAAGTTATTGAAACGTTTTCATTTTCATTTCATTTCAAGAATGTAGTAGTAGATTACTTTTCAAAACGCACAAACAAAGTTGCTCCAGTGAACAAAAAAAAATGTAAGGGCCTTTTTTTACATAAGGAGGTGATCTTTATTGCAAGAGAAAAAAATATATGACTTGTTGATTTATTAGCTTCAGCTTGACATGATAACAAAAGGAATTAAGAATGTTTATTTTTTTAAATAATTAGCTGCTACTGACAATTTAGTGTGTTTCCGAGGTTTTCGGTTTCAATTCGTGTGGATCTCCAGTTCGATTCAAACTAAATTTGGTTGAAAGAGATTTCCGGATCACAATTGAATACATTAGTAACAGCACATATTTTGCAAACACTCAAAACGCAAATGTAAAGTTCAAACGGAAATAAAAATAAGTTACTGGGGATTGTGAATTTGTGACGTCACTCCGGAAAGTGTTGGCTACTGGCGAGAGCGAATTGCATAAGCGTATTTTGAGAGCGGGAGCGGCCAATGCGCCTGTCCGCTTCCCAGGCGAATCCCGCAATCCGCCGCAGCCCCCAATCCACACGAGCGGCGGAACAAGTCGCGATTATCCGCTGCCAGGGCACCCCAATGTCTTGGCCCGGCCTTATCTCTGGCTTTCACTTCCGGAACTCGGCTGCGACGACAACTACAGGAACGAAGTGCCAGGCTCACCAGCACCAGCACCACGACCAGCACCACCACAACCACAGCCACCCCCACAATCTGCATTCACATTCTCCACCCACAGCCGGCCACCCGGCGATTGCAAATCGGAATGCTGCAGTCAGTGCTCCGGGGTAAGTGAATCGACGCGCGACTGGCAATGGAATTCGGCGGAGATTCCACCAGAGGCGAGATTTGGGAGCGGGAGCCATAGCCATAGGCATTGCCATAGCCATTGCCATTGCCATTGCCATCCGCACCTGGTAGTGCCCCGCCATGATTGTGATGAGCATCTGGTGCAGCAGCCTCAGCCTGAGCAGCCGCAGCCTGGCCATCGCCGTGGTCGTCTGCCTGACCCTGGTCTACTTCTCCTACAGCTTCAACGCCTGCATCCTGGCCAGCATCAGTCGCAGTCTGCAGCAGGTAATTACCCATTGCCACAGCTCGCCAAAAACAGAAGGACCTTTTAGGCCCCGTAAACGAAGCTCATAATCGTAACATTAGTTTGCAAAATTAACTTGACTAAATGCTCAAACAAAAAAGGTTTGGTTTTATGGTGCAGTTGATTAAAAATATGGCAGAGACAATTTTGAAATGGCATCATTTTTGGTTAAAGTGTAATTTACGTTTAATGTTTTTTTTAAATTTGTATCTTATGGTTTGGGTAACCAATTTCGATCATCCACCTTTAAATGTATGTATTTACGTTTAGAGATTATTCGTTAAAATTTAAACTAGTTGGTCAATTTAAAGAACCTTCAAGTGTACAAGCAAAAAAAAACAAAAATTAACATTATTGCTTCTATTCGAAAATTATACTTCACAAAGCTGTTTATCTCAACCATTCACCAGTAAACACATTTGATATGCGTGTTTTTAGCCTTGGAAAAATGACAACTTTATAACGTATATAATGGGAAAGTTGAAGATTTTTATTTTTAGTAAATTAAAAACCCGATAAACGAAAAACGTAAATAAACAAAATTGTAGCATCCAAAAAATATTAGGTGTCCTTTTCTTAATCTGGCAGCCAAGCTGCACTACAAAACCAAAATTTCGTGGAGAACAGAAAAAAAAGTGATATTATTCTGTTTTACTTTAAATTTAAAATCAAAACCAAAATTTATGGGTAAAAGAAATTTTCTAAAAAAAAAAAGTTCAGAAGGAAAACCCAGTAATGAACTTGTAGCTTTGCGATAAGCCCAATAAATTTAGTTCAATGGTCATTTAAAGGGTATCCCAGAGTCGGGACGGTCGACTTCAACAATTTACTGGGGATTTTTTATGCACCGGTATTTCTATCTGTGTGTGGCATTGACCTGTGACCTCTCCCGCGCAGAGCAACTTACGCAATCTACTGGCGCTCACATCCTCGCCCCGCAACGAGACCAGTGACGCGGGAAGCAGCAGCAGTAGGAGCAGCAGGAGCAGCAACAGCAACAGCAACAGCTCATCCTCCACCACCAGTGCTCCTCCGGTGCAGACGGTGACCAGCAGCCTGGATGGGGCGCCCAAGTATCAGCTGCTCCGGCAGCAGGGCCTCCGACCATCGCGCCACCTGCCCGACACGCTCATCATCGGCGTGAAGAAGAGCGGGACGCGGGCGCTGCTCGAGTTCATCCGACTGCATCCGGATGTTCGGGCCGCCGGCTCCGAGGTGCACTTCTTCGACAGGCACTACCAGCGCGGCCTGCGCTGGTACCGCCACCACATGCCCTACACCATCGAGGGCCAGATCACCATGGAGAAGACGCCCAGCTACTTTGTCACCAAGGAGGTGCCGCAGCGCGTCTACCACATGAACCCGGCCACAAAGTGAGCACTGCCTTTCTCAGTCGTTTAAAGTTTATCACTCATACGTACCGTTGCCCTTGATCAAAAGTGACCTTAAATATTCGTTACTTGATGCTGAAACCTTGATTACTTGACGACTACTTTTTATACAAAATTTGACTAACTGAAAACAAAATAATCTTGGCGTAAAAATAAATTCTATCTGGCATACGTTTCGTATGAGTAATTTTTATGGACACTTTGAAACCATAGACCTACACTAAAACTTTAATACAGTTTTTTGGTATTTTAATTGTAAATTGTAAGCGTAGGGTGCACTGACAAAAAAAAACCAGACAAAAAATATGTTTACAACAAAATTCGGCTCACTTGCTCTTTTTTTCACATTGGAAATTTTAATACTTTCTCATATTTTATTATTTTAATATTTTATTCGATTGATACAGCCTATTTTGTTATTAAAATCACTTTACTTTTCACTTTCCGTTAATCTAAGGAAAAGTCCCTTAAAATATTTTTATATTTATTTGTATTATTATTACCGGAATTTACTTAAATACCAATTATTATAAGGTGCTGGATTGTCAAATTATATTATTTTATTTTAAATATATAATAAAAAATAACCTTATATTAAATACTTCCCGTTCTGAGATTAATTTATTTATTTTGTTCTATTATCTTATTCAAAATAAAAAGAATTCTTATGATAATTATTTGATATTTTCGAAAATATCATTGTAACATTTTCGACATTCCGAGAAGATCATCGTACAATTATCAATTCCTATGCCCACAGATTGCTGATTGTGGTCCGGGATCCGGTGACGCGGGCCATCTCCGACTACACGCAGGCGGCGAGCAAGAAGGCGGACATGAAGCGCTTCGAGCAGCTGGCCTTCGTGAACGGGAGCTACGCGGTGGTGGACACGAACTGGGGCCCGGTCAAGATCGGCGTGTACGCCCGCTTCCTGGAGCGCTGGCTGCTCTACTTTCCGCTCTCGCAGCTGCTCTTCATCAGCGGCGAGCGGCTGATTATGGACCCCGCCTACGAGATTGGCCGCGTCCAGGACTTTCTCGGCCTGAAGCGCGTGGTCACCGAGAAGCACTTCTACTTCAACGCCACCAAGGGCTTCCCCTGCCTCTTCAAGTCGGAGGCCCGCTCCACGCCCCACTGTCTGGGCAAGACGAAGGGGCGCAACCATCCGCACATCGATCCCGGGGCCATCGAGCGTCTGCGGGAGTTCTACCGGCCCTTCAACAACAAGTTCTACCAGCTGACGGGCATCAACTTCGCCTGGCCATAGGATCCACCACGACTGGGTGAGTGGAGTGGGATTGGCCAATGGACAATTACATCCAAGAAACAAATGATTATACATATAAGAAATGTCAGATTAATGCATTCATTTTTTTGATTTTATATCCTCTTTTCAAGCTATAATTTTGAATTTCAAATAAGTGTCTTATATTATTTTATTTATTTGATCAGGTTAACTTATTAATTATATTTCATAATTTCGTCGCTTAACTTTTTTAGGTCATTTTATTTATTAAATGCAAAGAAATACTTTAGTAACTAAGCAAGTATATTCTTAATAATTATAATACGCTTTTCAAGGGTTTAAAAATAGAAAGTACTGGGGTATTAGGGTTCAGATATTTAAATTTGGTCAGAGTTGTATCCCTAATATTTGTATTTATTTATGTTTCAGTATATGGCCAGCATACCGGAAATTAATGGAGTTAAAAATATAAAAAAAAGGAGATAATGTTGTTGCTGGCCAGGCAACGGACTGATATTGTTGATTGCATTTTTGATACATATAATTGTACTTATATATAGTATATACACACGTAAACTTAGTGCTCAATTAATTGTAGCTTTATCAGGAGACAAATTCAACGAAGTGCGTCCTTCACAAAGTATGCACTCAAAAACAATACGGTTCCTCTATCCAACTCAAATGAAAATCAACTCACTTTCCCCACTATACTCAAAAATCAAAACAGTGGGTGGGCCACCAGGATCGCTCGGAGATGAAAGTGGTGGACTTATACTGCCCACTGTGCACCCACTGTGCACACACCTAAGATAAATATGTGCATTTATATACAAATAGTGAACAAATAGAGCTTACTACGAAATTCCTACAGTCTCCTATATAGTATATATATATATTACATAAATAGTTCCAAGAATTTCAATTGCATGACTCAACCAATACAATTGCTTAGCTAATTTCAATTAACACACAACATAAATAAATCCATTTAAACTAAATCTTGTCAACTGAAAATCGTCATTGTTTCATTTGATTATAAAGCTTTCGACTCATACTATCTCCCATTCTCCTACCAAAACATTTAGTAAGTCAAAGAGGTTCAGTTTTGTGTAAATTTATTGATTTTATTTTGGTTTTTAAATTGGTTGTGAACGATTCACGTTATTCGCTTTTCTTGCTTTGTTTTCAACGTTATGATACTTTTTTGATTTAAGGACCTTGTGGTCTTATTTTCGTCTGCCACTGTTTTTTTCGTTTTAAGTACAATTGATTAAATAAATTGCGGTGGTTTGTGGTTGTTACTTGTTGCTTTAAGGTATTCATCCAATTTGCTTTCGTATTTGCTTTTATACAATATGTTGGTAGATATTATATTAGAAAATTATATATTATTTTTTGGGATTTTTTTTTGTTTGTTGGTTTTCTTCTTAAGGTTATGAATTTCATTAAAAATAACTATGCATAAATGGTGATCGTAAAAGTAATTATGGTAATAACATTAGTCATAACGAACTAGGCGAAAATAACTTAATTCCTATAGTAAGGTGTGCCTAAACCTAGATAGCTACATGATCTTTGATTTGATATATTACAATCATCCGATTGGTTTCGGTTTAGGAAGGCGGGCGGGCGGTAAATGAGATGTGGAGATGAGTGTAGGCAGTGCATCATCGTTGGACTACTTCAGTTGATCCTCGCCAAGTGTGCCTAGGATCTGGTGCCAGTTCGATGCTCGTCTCGCTAACGCCGCATCATCCAGAATTGCTTCTGATTTCGAGCTCTGCAAACGCTTCTCGCAGTAAAGACTGCCCACCGGCTTGGCCATCGATGCCGCCAAGCTCTTCGTCACCGTGGAATAGTGCAGTGCCGTCGAAGATTCATTGCCACCGCCGGTGGGCGACACTGCCTGCGCGCCCGCGCTCACCTGACGCTGGAGGAGCGGCACAGCCTGTGTGGGCGAGCTCTTGGCTACTGGCGGCGGCGTTGCCTGACTGCGATCCTTGATGGGAAACTTGTTCTTGGTACAGCTCAAGTCCAGTTCCAGCGTGTAGAAACGTCCGCGGGTGTACTGCCGGTTTTCGTTTCTTAGACTTGCACAGGCTTCATCTGATGCACTCGCCCCTCCAGCGGAGGTTGCAGTGGCCACACCTACGCCAACACTTGGTGGCTGCTGGCTTATTGTGCAGATGCTACTACGATTACTGTTCCCGGTGGGCAGGGCTGTGTGGGCAGTGGTCACCGAGCTGGCCTGAGTTCCCGCCCCACTACCGTCGCACACATCCTCGCCGGGATCGTCCTCGCCGTCGGAACTGGACAACGAACTTTCCGTGTCGTCGATGTGCAGCTGATTCCGGGGCTTTACTTTCACCTGAGCATTGGCCGGCTGAGCGGCGGGCGACGACTTGGTGATTCTTGGCGATTGGTCCATAATCAGGTTCTCCCAACTGGTCTCGTACACGCTGGCCAATTGCGCCGCCGGCTTGGGCTTGAGTATCATCGCCTTGAACGGCATGGCCTGAATTGTAGTGGGTGGTGTGGCCTCTGCTTTCTCCTCAGCGGGAAACTTTCGCGCTCCGATTAATAGCTGCGGCTCCACGTAGAACGAGTCGAAATTGAGGTCCAGGAAGAGCTCCTGTAGGAAGCGGCGGGCTAACATCCGATAGCTGCTTCTGCCCAGAGTCTTGCAGGACTCCGAGTAAAGGCAAATGTCCTAAAAAAAAAAGGAATTCATAAATTTGTCCCTTTTTTTTGTATTTAAATTACTCTTACCTGAAAGGCGTGCGGGTGCTTTTGCTTAAGCTCCAGGAGGGCCATTTTCGACTGCTTGGCACTGACGGGATTGGCCAGGCGCTGTACATTGTACAGGATAGAGGCCGTTAGCCTGTCCGGCAGGCTGTCCTCACTCAGCATGCTCTCCGGCGAATGGAAGCTAATGTCCGCACCCAGGGCTGACGAGGCTCCCGGGGCAGAGGAGGCGCTCTTCTTGGCCAGAACAGGTCCGGCCTGTATGCCGGCCGCCACTAGAGCGGCCGCTGCACTGCTGTACAGCTCGCAGGGCGCGAGGGATGTGCCACCACCGTTATTCTGGCTACCGCAGTTGTCGTTGCGCTGCTGTCTTGGGTTGCGGGCGCAATGGAGACACTGGCTCCGCGCGTGCTTGGTGCCCTGCTGCCACTGTCGTGGCTGGCGCCGACTTGCGGACGAGACGTCCGAAAGCGAGGATATTACCGAGGACTCGTCGCCGCCCTCGTTGGTCAGCGAGTCGTTGAGGAACTGCTGCCGCCCTGTGCTGCTCAGCAGATTGATGCCCATCAGATCTTGGTCCTGGATGTCGCGCGACACGTACGTTCGACTGAGGTTTCGCGTGGGAAACAGGTCTAGAACGTTCTTGGGCAGGCAGATGCCCGCGTAGCACGGCCCCTGCATATCGTTCTGGGGCAGGAACTTGGGCGCGTTTAGCGTGGGGAGCAGCACATTCAACTCGTCCGCGGAAAGGCGTCTGCAAAGATGGTAAGTACGCATTTAAATCGATGTACAACATAGTTTCTTATTCACGTTCTTGAGTAACTCACCTATACACCTCACTCAGCTTGGGCTGGCGGTCCAGGCTGCGCACCTTAAGCCGTCGATTTGATTGGGACCAGTCGGGCCGGCGCATCTGCACCTCGGGAGTGTCGAGTGTCTCGGCATAGAACTCAGCCGACGACTCAGAAAAGACGGGTCGACTGTGGGCACGCAGGGAGCGCAGCTGGGCGTAGCCCTTCATCGCCATCGGGCTGAGGGTGGAGGGGAGCAGGCTGGTGGCCAACTGGTGTCGCCGGAAATGCTCGTCGCTCTCTAGCAGATTGGACATGCTCGGAATGGGGCTTAACGGGAATTGCTGGAACTCGCTCATGTTGGCCGCTGCTGCGGCAGCCGCGGCAGCAGTGCGTCCAGTCACCGACTCGCAACTGCTGACGCCGGAAGTGTTCGAATCCGTGCAGGAGTTGTACCGTATGCGGTGCTGGTACGGCATGGGATACAAACCCCCGCCCGGCATCGTGGTGGCTCCACCACCGAGCAAGCTGATGACGTCCGTGGTCTTCGATTCTGAAAGCGAGCGCTGGTGCTTGCCCTGGCGTAGATTACTGCCCTCCGGCAAGGTCTTTGATTTCGCGGCAATAACGCTGGTCAGCATTCTGGGATGCAAGTCGTCCGTTGTTGTGCGAACGCTGTCCGTGGTCGTCGTCGTTGTGTTCGGGTCCTGCACTATGGGATGAATGCCCCCGGCGGTCCCCGATACGGCCACACCTCCTGCGCCACCCGACTCCGTCTGGTCGGGGAGTAGGTTCCAATAGTAGGAGCCTGTGTAGTAGAACCCATCGATCTGATCCTCCAGCATCGTTAGATTGTCCGCCGGCACGTCCTCGTAATAATGCCGCACTGGTGTATACTGGCTGGACATCCAATCCTCCGGCTGATGCACTGGCCACATGGTGTTCCTGTCATGTCGCACGCTTAGCCAGTCTGTTAAGATATGGATGTTTAAATTTAGGCACACTTTCAAGTATACATATTTTAATAATATTTCACTTTAATGATATAAACGCAGTGAATTCAGTATTATTGTTTGGAACTATTTACTCAGTTTAAAAAGAATATTGGCTCCTGCTTGGGTGCCGGCAATAAGTCCTAAGGCACTAAAACAGGTGGCTCGCACCGAATAAACTTCACACTTGGTCACCAGCACAATTAGCTTCTCATAAAGTCTAAAAATAATTAATAATTTATTAAAACAAAATTAAATATGAATCATAATATATATAAATCAGTCACTCACCTGGCATTCAGTTCCACAAAGTATTCAATTCCATTGGCGTGGGTTGAGGCGTGGGCCAGGGCCCAGATGGACGCCTTGAGTTCTAGGCACTCTGAATCGTCCGTGCACTTGGCGCGTGTGAGGAGCTCTATCAACTGCGGCAGGTCTCCGTGCTTCCTCAGCGCCGTCATTCCCTTGACAGTCTGGGCCATCTGTCCGTAGAGATGGGGGGCAATGTTCGGCGGCACAGTCTGGGGTCGCTGGTTGCAGTTGCGCCGCGAGTAGTAACCATCCTCGTTGCGGATGTGCAGCGTCAGGCTGGAATGGGTGTCGGCCTCAACAAGGAGCACGTAGCGCTTGTTGTAACCGTTCCGCCAGTACCGGATCTCCTCCTCAATCCGCGACATCGTACTGTTCAGCCCGCGGGGCAGTGAGTAATAGTGGGCCATCAGCAGTCGTCCTGCATCACCGCGCTGCGTGAGATTGGGCCACCGGCTGATAATTTCCTCCAGGTAGTACTTGTCGTGACAGGCCTCCTCCAGCACCTCCATTGCGGCCAGCACCACGCTGCGATCGGCATCTCGCGTCTGGTTTATGATCAACGGAATGCCCCATTCCTCGAAGTGGGGCAATCGGGCACGCAGCAGCACAGCCATGAACTGGGTGGCATACAGGCGTCCGCTGCGGGTCTTCGCCGACGTCAGCGCCTTTTCCAGCACCTGGCGAGGTGCCTTCTCGTAGCTGTAGTTTAATCCGGACACAATCAGCTTAACATAGCAGACATGGTCCGTCAATCTTACCAAGTTAATTAAGCTGAAAGTAGGGGAACTTAGATTAGCTCAGCTCTTACTAGAATAACATGTTCACTTAGGTACACAAATTGCTTTCACTTATTTAAATATAAATAAATGAATATACATTTTTGATTACATCTCTACTGACTATACTCTACATTTGTACTCTATACATACATTTGTAAATCATTTATTCAGTGATAAGTAATACTTACTACTCAAATACGGTGGTGTTTTTGAGTACTTCGATGCCCTTAGTTGTTCGGCACATGCGTCCGATATAGAGGAAATACTGCTGACACATCGTGTTGTTCATGTGCTGCGGACTGAATAGACAGTCGTGGGCACGACTCGATGTGGTGACGGCCGCCAACTGCTGACTGATGTCGGAAAAATAGTCGGTTATGTAGCGCATACAATCCAACTGCAAGGTGAAC